TATATCATCTTTAAACTACTTAATTATAAGTTTAAAAAAGATTTTGTTTATTAATGATTTACAAAGAACTAAGCTAAGAAAACAGAAAAAAATTAGAGAAATTTATAAAAATATATAATAGTGTTTGGTTTGGTTTGTTTCAAGTTTCAAAAGATAACAATAAAAGTCGCCACTGAAAGTTGAAAATTGGCGACCGTAGAATAGAAAATTTGTTGCAGTCAAAAAAATAGTTGCCACTGAAAGTTGAAAATCAACGGTGACATTTTGTCGCTGCAAAAACCATACATTTTGTCGCCATTGAATGTTAAGTATTAGTGGCGACATTTTTTGCCGCTGAAATTACCAATCAACGGCGACTTTTTTGTCGCTGCTAAAAAGTAATGTCGGTTCACTTATACATATGGTGTCATGTCACCGTCCATGTGGGGCCTCACCTCGCACCACGTGACGTCATTTCACCCTCCACGTGTCGCCCCCACCTCACGCCACGTATCATCATGTTACTAATTTATATTTTCATTTTGAAAGTTGTCTCCTCTAATGTTTGAACCCATGATCTTCTCCTTTTGTGTCCAACCATTTTGCTACTGAACTAGAATGAACCTTTAGTCTATTATTGCATAATTAAATATATATACATATATATACATGTTATTAAACTATGCAAACACACATATATATTAAATATTAAATATTATAAAATATCATTACTATCCTTAAATACTTTAATTTAATTCTTTTAATTTAAAAAATTACAAATTATATTATTGATGTTATTTAAAGTAAACTATAAATATAAATGATGCAATATCATTTGTATTATTTTTTTAATTTTTTTTACTTCTTGAGGTTGTTATATTATTTATTTGAATATTCATATTTATAATTATAATATAAAAATATTTAAGAATAAATAGTAAAAATACTGATGATTATACATTAGTTTATAATTATTTATGTTTCTAAACTGGCATCAAACTTTAAAGTTACCAGTGTTAAATGTAAAATTTAAATTAAAAAATTAGATTAGATGAAATATCATTCTATGAATGAATAAATTTAAGTATCACATGTTTAATTATTATAAATAAGTAGTGTTATTGACTTCAACGTTGATTCGATGGCTTATACTTTCTCTCTCTTTTCTTCTATCTTGAATATTTAAGATTTTTCACTTATTAGTTATAATTTTAAATGTAATTTTTTAGTTATTAATTAGTCAAAAAATATATATTAAAACTTTCATGCTTATTTTAGCCATTAAACATCTCAACTGGCTTTTAAATAAAATTATCCAAACAAATTTTAGCTTATCTAACTGACTTCTAAAAAAATCATATCCAAACATAAATCATATTACATTTACTGACTTTTCTTCTAACTTTAATTTGCTAAACTCGGTTGAATCTTAACCTCAGTTGTAAATTTTTTAATACAAACACACACGTAAAATAATATGGTTTGGCTTAATTCTTTACTTTAGCTCCTTAGCATTAAATAATACCTTAACCTTATCTTAAAGTTATAATTTAACTATAGAATATATTAAATAAAAACTCATTATATTATTTTATATATTCATTTTAAAATTACAATAATACAACAAAATTAATGTCTTAAAATGTTAAATATTAGATAAATAAAAATAAAAAATTATGACAAAATTAAAATTTTAGTGGCAACACTCAAAGTCATCACTAAAAGTCTCATTTTCAGCGGCAACACTAAAAAGTCACTGCTGATTCTCAACTTTCAATGGCGACTTATATGTCACAGCTCAAGCTTATAACATAAGTTTTTTTTAAAAAATTATAATATATTTTAAAATATGTTGACAATCAGTGGCGACATTAAAAAGTCATTGCTGATTCTCAACTTTCAGCAGCCAACATAAGTTTTTTTAAAAAATTATAACATATTTTAAAATATGTTGACAATCAGCGGCGACATTAAAAAGTCACCACTGATTCTTAACTTTCAGCAGCGACTTACACATCGTCGCTGAAACTTACAACATAAGTTTTTTTTTAAAATATAACATAGTTCAAAATATGTTGACAATCAGCAACGACATTAAAAAGTTGCTGCTGATTTTCAACTTTCAGCAGCAACATATACAACATAAATTTTTTAAAAAAATTATAACATATTTTAAAATATATTGACAATCAGCGGCGATATTAAAAAGTCGTGGCTAATTCTCAACTTTCAATGACGATTTATATGTCACTGTTGAAACTGAGACTTTTAATGGCAACATGCACTTGTCGCCATTGAAAGTTTGACAATCAACGGTGACTTTTTAATGTCGCCGCTAAAAGCCACTATTTTAGCGGTGACTTTAAATGTTGTTGTAGAAAGTCACACTTTCAGCGACGACTTTTATTGTTGCCATAGATTGTTCATTTTCAACGGTAACTTTTTAGAGTCGCCACTAAAAGTCATTTTTTTTTGTAGTGATGCTTGGTCTTCCATAACAGTTTCTTGAAAAAGTGCTCTCGAAGACTAAAAATAAAATTAAGTTGTAGACTTTAGTACAAGATTTTTTTTATTTCTTCAAAATCCACAATTTCTCTTTCCTTTTGTCCTTCTTCTTGTTTTTTAATTTAACTTTTAGTTGCAGACTTGCAAGGACAATGAGCTAGTGAAAAGCATTCAATGTTCATTCTTTGCTGAGGACAAGGATGATGCAGGTCTATTTTAATCAAATTAATTTCTTTCTATTTTTGAAGGATTAATAAATAATAAATCATATTGGTATTTAGGTATTGAAATTATGGGCTAATATTTATTGAGTTTTGATTTAAAAATTGAATTTTAGATCTGGGCTGAATTAAATATTTAAAAAATAAATATTAAAATAAGGGGTGCAAAGTATAAAAAGGATAGAGGGGCAAACTGCAAAATACAAAAACTTATACCCCATGCATGTTATTTTTCCCAAGTGAACAACATGTGGCGCTCCTGACTAGCAGCCACTACTATCAGTTTTCTTTTTTTATTTTTAAAGTTGTTTTTAAAATTAATACAATCAATTAGAATTTAATTTAATTTTTTTAAAAAAATTAGTTTACAGACTAGTTTAAAAAAAAAAATACAACCAAACCAAACAAGCTCTTAATTTTTAAACTTCAACTTCCGCTGTGTGAACTATGTAAAATGCAACCTGGTTTAATCCGTCCAAAATTCTTGATCGAATCCGTGGGGAGATTATAGTTCATTAGTGTTGGCCAACTTGAATTAAGTTTCAATACCATGCATTTTATTTTGTATCAGTAGTGCTTTTATTCACGGGTTTAGTTGACCACGCGTGCGCGTGTCTGTTGACCCAAAAAGCAAAGTCCGGAACAACATTGGATGCGCTGATTTTCTAGCAAAGTCAGGAAGGTCTACTGATTCAGAGATTATATTAATACCTAAAGTTCCTCCAGTTGTTTGAGACAATATTTAAAACATAAGCAACTTGTGAGTTAGTGTGTTCCTTATTATCTTTTTTGGTTTTAGGCTAGTTCCTAATTTTTAATTTCTCAAGCTCTTGCTTGCCTTTGTAATTCCCCCGCCAAAAAAAAAAAGGCAAGTCTTACTTTTTTGGCCCCGCTTCTTACGCGTTTTGCTCACTCAAGACTTGGGGGCCAATCTATGAAGGAAAACGTTAAATGCTTTCACTTGCGGAGCTATGCCTATTGACCCCAAAAGAAAGCAAATCTTTCTCTTTTGCTCCTGTTTCTTACGCGTTCTGCTGATTGAGAACCAACTATTTAAATTTGAGTTTTGTCGTAGCAACGGCAAGCTGGTCTTGCTCTCATTCTTAACTCAAGTGGGTTGTAGCAAATTAATTAAAGCTCTCTCACGCCATTACCATTATTCTCCACACATGTAGGTGACCGTGACGGTCTATTCACCCAAAAAGTGAAGTGTTTCTCCTTCAGTTCTGCTTCTTACGCATTTTTCTCATTCAGGACCGGGGATATCTATGGGATCTGTCATTTCTACTCATCACTGATCTAGACTGTCCTGATTTTAACCTGAATAATTCAAAGTTAAATATTTTTAATAAATATTTATCATTAATCGAGAAATTTCAAATTTAATCTGAATGATTTAATTTAATGTTAAAATTATTATGATTTTTATAAATTGACCATCTAGTATTCTTCACATTCTAAATTTAATATTAAATTTTATAAATTTTTATTTTAATAAATATAATATTAGAAATAAAGATAATATTATAAATGGTAGTTTTAAAAATATGTACTCTCTCCATTAAAAAATGTGAGCCATCTTTTGAGAGGTTGGATATTAAAAAATATAAAATATTTTTAGTATTTCAAAATATAATCATGGCCTTTTTTTAAAAGTGCTCTTAATAAATAAATCACTTTATATTTATTTTAAATAAAATATCCTATTAAATAGAAGTAAATATGAAAAAATATAATCAGTTTGAATATAAGTAATTACTTCATTAAGAGTTGAGATTATATTAAAAATGCTTTATATTTTTTAACATAGGGAGTATTTTTTAAAAATTGTAAATCAAAAATTTTAAAGATAAACTATCCTAACTAAATCTAAATAATTAATTTACAAAAATATAAAAAAATTTAATATTAAATTTTGACAATTTAAATTAAATCTAGACCGTCCAATTTATAGCAAATGAATATATTGAAAAAAATTTAATTTTATATTTTTATTTTAATAACTATAAAAATATATAAATTAAAAATTTTAAATCAATTTATGCTTTGTAAATCTTACGTGGATGATGGTACGCATGACCCCATGAACAGCAGTGAAGATGATTCCCAATCTATGAAGTGGGAACGTTAAATCATAAATGCTTTCAATTGTTAAGAAGCGGGGCACAAATAAGTGGAAAAGGGGGAGCCACGTGTATGGAGGCTGAGCGTTTTTTTCTTTTGTGGTTGTTAAGCTATGCCTCTTGACCCAAAAAGAAAACAAATCTTTGTCTTTTGCTCCTCCTCCTTACGCGTTCTTCTCCTCATCTTGGTGATTGATTTCTAGATATCCACTACTCCTCAACTTGCTGCGAAATCTTTAGATCTCAACTGATGCATTTGACCTCACATTCGATATTTATCTTTGATTTCGACTATTTGCAACTGCGATTTGGTTTTCTTATTTATCCCCACCTGGTCTTTCTAAGAATCTCTGATTCTTTAAGATTTGGTTTGAGTGAATTTAAATTTCAGTTCTGTCGTAGCAACAGCAAGGGTGATCTCACTTCATTCTTAACGCAAGTGGGTTGTGACACATTAAAGCTCTCCCTCACCATTACCATTATTCTCCACACTTGTCGCTTCCATGAATTCCAACTCAGTTCCATCAGGTATTTCTTGCAGCTCGTTCAGCGTTATTCAACATCAAAACACACACATACACACACATTCTTCAATTCAAGTGACATTTTTGTAGCTTTGGCTAAGAAACTTACTACTGTCATGAAAGTAAACGTGACCAAAAAGGAAAGAATAAGTTAGATTTTTCTCATGGAAAACGTTAATGATTCATGCTTGTATGTGATTCTTCAACTTTCTTTTTTTTTTTTCCAAGAATAGAAAACGGCATATTCAGTTGTAGGAATCTCTTAGTTTATGTGATGAGTCTTATATTGCGGAGCTTCTTCATGAGATCAGTAGAATTTATAAGTTCAAGGCATCTTATTTTTTTGAGCTATATTCTTTCTTTAAACTTGCACCGGCAACATTGATATTTTCATTGAAAGTGATGTTACGTCAGTTGCTTCAGTTGGGACATTGGATCAGAGTCACTAATTCAACCAGAGTCAAACTCACTGGGGTTAAACTGAAATCAAACCATTTATAATAAAATATTATAATTTAAATAAAAACACGTTAATCCTCAATTCATTTATTCATATCTAAGACTTAATATCTCATGTAACATACAACAATAATTCAATTGATGATAATATTAAGTAGAAAATACAATAGTAAAATATTTTCTTGGACAATAATAGAACTAAAATTTTTAATATAGTTAAAAAACGAGACATAAATAACCGTTTACAATTAAAGAAATAACTATCTAATATAAAAAATATACTATGTAACTATATATAATTTTAGATTAAAAATAAAATAAAATACGATTTGAAAATAAAATACCCATTAGCACTTTGTTTCAGCGAAGTGGAGTAACTTGTAAAGGAATACAATTTCAAAATGGTTTAAATTGCATGCTAAAAAAAACAAAGAAAAATATTGTCTCCTAAAAATACATATCAACCAAATAAAATAGTTAAGAAGACTTTCACGTGTTATTATTACTTATTTGGATCTGTTTATTATTTTTCACATGTAATTCTAAATGGTTAGAAACCAAATTTCTTCAACCTAGTCATCTTTGTGTTCACATTGACGAGAGCAGGAAGAATAACACATCTGGAAAAGTTGGAGCAGGTGGCTTTTTTTTTTAACAAAATAACAAGAGTAGGCACGTAGTATTTTATAATGTATTTATTAGTTTTCTGCATTAATATTGACCATTACATTAATATTGACCACTACTAGTCAATATATACTCTCTCTGTCCCAAATTATTGTTCCAAAATATAGACACTTTTACAAAAAATAAAATTTTATTAATGATACTTTTTTAATATTATTTTTTCAATGTATTTTCTCTTTTTAATATTCTTGTATAAATGAAGTATTAAATGAAGGGATTTTTAAAAATTAATATTTTTATCTTGAAAAAATAAGGTTTGTCAAATGTATCAATGAATCTTATTGATATATGTAATTTTGTCTAAAAATATTTTATAATTTAGTATAAAGAAAGTTATATTGACACATTAGTTTGATAAGTTTTTATCATAAAACCTCTTAGACCATTACTTGTTTATTTCCTTTTTTCTCCCCTCAATTTTTGGGTTACTCCTTTAAACCCTATATTTTTTGAAGATCGAGCTTGAAAAATGAAGTAATATTTTTGTATAAAAAGTTTTTAAAAGAGATTCGAGGTCGAACTAGCCCAGTAACCTGTTTAGGCCTTATATTGTTCTTTCTCTTTTTAATTAGTATGTGTTCTACGTTGCTGAAAATCGTTTGGTTGAAATTATTATTAATAATGTAAAACAACATGTTTGGTTTATTTTAAATTTCATATTATTATAAGTGATATTTTTCATTTAAAATTTAAAAGAATATACGGGCTTTCGAGTCAGGCACTAAACCTTGTCCAGGAGGGCCAGACTCAAAGCATGGTCAATTTAAATTATACAGATTATATGCTTGAATTCTTAAGATCTAGGCTGGCTCTTATTGATAACTCTATTCTCAATACACGTTACCACATCCTGTAAAGTTACCTAAAATAGAGCGATTTCAACTCTTACAATTAAAGTCAGTCAAGGTGAATAAAAATATTCATTAACTCGTGAATTTTCCATTTCACCTCCTCACTCTAGCTTTGAAAGAGAGGGAAGGAGATATGGGAAATACATTGGAAGTTGGAGAGAAAAGAAAGAAAATTCTTGAGAGAGAAGGGGGATATAATATTTAATAGATATAAGCATTATCTAACACACACACACACACATATATATAATATTCTTGAGTGAGAAAATTGGTCGAAATGAAAGATACAAATCACTAATTTGCTAACAAAACCCCTTGAAAACATATGAAAATTATGAGTCATTACACCGCCACACTCAAGCATTTTCTAGTCCCCAAGCAAAATTAAAACAAATCACATCAAGAAAACAATGTATTGCTCAAGGAATCACTTTGCAAGTACCCTACACTTGAACCCAACTATCAACTTACATGGGATAAAAGATCTCATCATATATATCAATATTATGTTTAACGATATGTTTGCTGAACTATCTTTTGAAGATCCTGTTGTAGCATCTTTCAAGAGCTTCATCAATTTCTAATTGATTAATGTTATATAATAAATATTATGCTCATTTCTTTTTTTATTAATTTTTTACATTATATAATGTAGTGTCATCAATTTTTTTTACCTTAGTTATGTATTTTGAGAAGTTGCAATTTTTTATTTTAAAATTGATTTTTTTTTTTTTGGAGTACTACCGCGAGGAGGGCTTCTGTGGAAAAACAATCATGAATAAATACTGTTTTAATACAAAATTGTTTGCTTTATTGGGTGGAGGAGTTGTTAAATATGAATACTACCATATGTTTTTTTTTTAATGAAAATGTTTTCATATAAGATTCTTTGCTTATTGATCCTAAAGACCCTCAACTGTTATTACTCATCCCTCACCGCCCGTCGGGTCAAAAAGCAAGTCCTTGTCGTCTTCTTCCACTGTGAAGGCAAAAAGGAACAGCTATATATATATATATATATATATATATGGTGGGAGGTTAATATGGTGGTGGGCCAAATTGTATTCTTATTAAAAAAATATTTTAAAAAATGCGGCTCATCTACTTATTTATTTTCTATATAATGCCTCTTGATCTTTCTCCCTTCTCCACCTGCTCTTTCTACGCGTTTCTGGTTCTTTAAGATTTGGTTTTGGTGAAGTTACGATCTCATGCTGCTATTTCTTTGGTAGAGCTCTGGTTTTTTGAGAACATTAACTTCTTTTTTCCTGGTTAGATTATCCCGCCCCCGTCCTCCCCCCCCCCCCCTCATTTTGTTCTTCTCGGGTTGATCTTATTTTTCATATTCATGGTTTTCCGCTTCTTTTTTTTTTTTCTTTTGCGTGTCATAGAATATATTTTATTTTTTGGGTCGTTATTTGATCTCCTTTAATTTGATTTCCATTACTATGGCCTATATTTCTCATTTACATCTTCTGAATTTAATTTGAAGAGTTGGAATTTATTAGTGCTTTTAAGTCGATTCTGTTTATTATATTTTTAGATAGAGTTACAAAGTTTAAATATTTTTCTTGATTCTGATAAAAAATGTTAAAAATAATTTATAAATAGGATTATAAAAGTATTTCTTTAAAATACATCAATTTGACATGATCTAATAACAAAATAAACTTAAATTCAAGTTCCATTTTTATTGCATATAGCTTTGGTTGCGAGATTGACTACTTTCATGAAAGTAAACGGGGACAATAGAAAGAACTAGTAATAATATTTTATATATATATATAGAGAGAGAGAGAGAGAGAGTTTGGTGTGCTCCATAGTTTCCATAACTACAACCTATATTTCTCATTTTCACATTATAAATTTAATTTGCTAGAGACAATGAATTCGTCCTTGGGCGTAGTCCATGAAGGAAAACTGAAGAAACTGCGAAGTGATGCCGGGAAAGGCATGTGGGCAGAGGTACTAGAAACGTACAAGCAAGAAAGGGAACTACGAACAGCCGAGATAACGGCGACAGGAGACACAGTGTTACACATGGCTGTGTTTAATGGAGAAGAGAAGGTGGTGGCAAACATGGTGGACTTAGTTTGCGCAGAGCAACGTGTGGATAGAGAAAGGAATGAGAGAAGGCACGTCCTAGGGGCCAGGAATGACAGGAAAAACACTCCTCTGCATTTAGCTGCAACAATGGGCAATGTTGAATTGTGTAAGAAGATCGCCGGCGCCGACCCCTCCTTAATTTCTCGACTCAACATCGCCGGCGAGACACCCCTCTTCCTGGCGGCTCTCGCTGGCAGGAAAAAAGCTTTTCTTTGGCTTCATTATCTTTATATTGAAGCTTCTTCAAACGACAACCATGGAACTTCTTCAAGCTCCATCGACCATGATGGAGCTTCTTCTTCAACCGACCATGGAAGTTCTTCAAACAACCATCCTCTCTGGAGAAGGAACAACGAGGACACCATTCTTCATTGCGCAATTGCAGAAGGCCATTTTGGTAAATCCAAACTAATTAATATTCAATTTTTCATACACTAATGTTGCTTTAATTTTATTAATGTACTGATCAAGCACTGCGAGTGCATGGTGATGCATAACGAGAAAGGAGAAGGGAGAGATAATATAAAAAAGAGAGAAAGGGATTAATAGAGAGAATAAAAAGAAGAGAAACTTAGAGGAGATGCAAGATAATAATTTTTATGCAATCAGATGTACGTCTACAAAACAAATGAACTGAGACGCTATTTATAGGCTTGAACCTTAACCTTAGAATTAAATGCGAGAAATTTTTAAAATCTTAAAATTAAATGAAAAGATAATAATAATTTAAATATTACAACAATTAAAACAAAATATTCCTAATTAATAAAATATTCTAATAAAATATCTTCAATCATCCAATCTTTTTAAATCTTTAATATCTTTAATTACTTCCTTTTCTGTTTCTTCCCATCACATGGCTTGCTTTGGTTTCGCAGATGTGGCAATCGAAATAGTTCAGCTTTATAAAGATCAAGTGAAAGAGATGATGAGGCGAAGCAAGGAAGGGTTGACTCCACTACATATCGTAGCAGCAAAGCGTTCAGCATTCGAAAGTACTGCTCTCCTTGGTCGATCTTCCATTGTTCGTCCCATTTATAGTAAGTGCTGTCGTCCGTCAAGGGAATGCAAATATATATGTGTGTGTCTGTATATAGTGTCTTTTTCCCCCTCTTTTTTAATTCTGTCGTCCTGCTGATTATTCAATGTACTTTATATGAGAAAAAAAATGTGGACTTTTTCTGTTTGGAAATTGGAAGGGTTTTTCAGAGTTGAGGAGAAGAAGCAGGCCATAACGAAGGAAGAATTGGAACAATTCGAACGCAAATCACGTGTCACGGTCGTCCGGGATGCAGTGGTCAAGTTTTATCGAGGTATGTAAATAGGTTTTAATTAGCGTTAGCTTCTTAAGGACTTTTCCTTTTTCCGCAAATTTGATATTGAAAATATTACCACTGATAAATTTGTGACTCATGTTTGCAGAAAGCTCTTGGTCTTTCGCCCTCCTAACCCTTCTGATCCTCCCGCGGTTATTTATCGAAACAGGTACGCCATGTCAACGTGCATGCAAGAGCAAACATGTATCCTCTATATCTACCCCCATTATCCCTATCTCTCTATAATATCTACAAATTAGTAAAGAAAGCTAAAATTTACAATGTGAATGGTAGATTTCACTTTTTTTATTTATAGGAAGTCAATATTCACTATACAACAATCACAAAAATATCTTGGTAGACCTATCAAATATATATTTTTGTTATATTTAGTATAATTTTCTTAAAATATTATTCTTATCATTCCATTAAAATGTTAAGTGATGATTCATCATGTCATGAAATACTTTTGCACCACTGACACATCGATTTTCAGTTCTCATTAGAGGATGAGCACCTAATAAGATATGGATAGACTAGATTTAATTTGGACGGCTTAAATTTAAACTTTTTAATTTTTATTTTATATTCATTAAAATAAAAATTATAAAAAAAAGGTTTTGCTTGTAATTTTATTGAAAGCATATTCTTGTATTTGCCAAAATAAAATTTAAAAAATCATAAAAAATTAATATCAAATCTAAGCTCTCTAGAGTACATCTGGTTGGATAGTCAATTTATAAAACTTATTAATATTAAATGGACTATCTAAATTATTGATAAACAAATTATATCTAGATGGCCTAAATTTCATCAAGGGTGATGATGAGCACCATGATACTCATCCCCCTAATGAGCATCGAAACCGGATGCCCCTGACTATTGTTATATATGATTCCTAGGGATATGGTTCCATGGGATGAGAAAAATGAAGGAGAAGCACACATGGTGTCTTCAAATAATGAATGAACTTCTTCAGCATGCTTCCGATGAAGATATGAAAGAAATAGTATCGAGAACCCCCTCTCAACATCTTTCAATCTCCGAGGAAACAAAAGAGGAGAACGGTAAGGTTAATGAAAATTCCAAGATGTTAGTTTATAAAGCATTATTATTATATTTTTCATATATAGAACTTGACATTTAGGAATCATGCATAAATCATTCTTCACAAGGACGATGGGAGTTGGCTTCTCTCCTCCTAGCTTCTCCACCCTTAGATTTCAATTTCAATGGTTGAGATTCAATATATTATAATTAAATTACAACAATATCTTGAGATTTTGCTCAAATTGTATGCACTTTTCTCTTTGGGACGATTAAAATTTTGATATCTCAAATTTGTCTGAGTTATTGATTTGATATTTAAGATTTAATCTTTATCAATCATATCTTTAAAGTTTCATATAATCGCACAATTAATTCTTATAGTTTGATGGCAAAATAGCACTATGATTGTGGCCAAAAAAGAGGAAAAATAATACTTTGATGACTAATTATGTGTGGTTATAAAACTCTAGGAACTTGATTGATGAATATTAAATATTAAAAGATTAAATTGATAATTAAAATAAATTTGAGGGTGGGTTCAAAACTTTTATTCAATTTCTTTTATTTTTAAAATTTTACACTTACTGTTTTTTAAACAAAAATGTAAATTATAAAAATTATTCTCAAATAATTTGTTAAATTACACAGCCCTTTCTTCTATTTTCAAAACATATGCAAGTCTTTCTTAAAATATGAAGATATTTCAGTCTTTATGTGACTTTTGAAATCACGCATACTTTCCCTCTATTTTTAAGCGAAAATTATCAGGGAAAGCGACTATTTCAATGGATCATATTCTATCTACATTATTATTTATGTCAGTTTTGTGGTCAAGCTGGACATCAATAAAAATGTTGTAAGAGTGACTTTTCTCTAGCGTGCATGAATTTCTTAGAGAAAATCTCAGAAAAGACCCGCAAAAGTTAGCTATAAGCCTATAACCATCGTGAATTATAAAATCTTGCAATTAAATTTAGGAAAAATGATAATAAAATCCATTTGAATTATATAAATAATATTTTGGCCCCTCGAAATGTCATAATTCTCTGGAAGTCCCTAAGAAGTTTTTTGTCATTAAGGAATTAATGTAAATGACTAAATTACTCTTAATTCAAGATTTTAAATTCAAACGTGCAAATTGCTGTTGCATTCTTGTGATTTTAAAAAGAAAATTTGTGAATCTTAGAACAAAACTTGTAAATAGCAATTGATGTTTGTAACAATTGAGAAATATCAGAATTTCAAATGCAAATTTGAGAATTGCTTTTGAATTCTTTTTATTTTAAAAAGAAAAATTGTGAATTTTAGAACATAACTTGTGAATAACAATTGATATTTGAATTAAAGATAATTTGATCATTTGTATTAATTCCTTAATAATAGAAAAGTCCCTAGAGACTTCAAGAGAATGATAGCTTTTCGAGGGACCAAAATGTCATGTACATAATTTACAAGGATTTTATTGTCATTTTTCTTTAAATTTAAGTATCAGATCTTTTCTGTATATACAAATCATTGTTATGACTAAAATGCCCCTAAAAATAAGCAATTCAATGTGCATTTCAGACAGGGATATTTTAGTCAAAACACTATTTTTTAAACCCAAAAAAAGGACCATAATCCTGAAATTTAATTTTAATATTTTGTGGTCCTCAATGGTTATTGCTGATTTTCACGGATACATAATTGCGATTTTCCAAAATTTTTAACTCACACTGCAATGATAATCGTTTTCTTTTTTGGTTAAAAAAACTTATAACCAACTAATTTATGATATCGACCGGAATGATTGGATAGAGTCGGAAATGGCGACACCACCGTCTGGTACGATAATAATTGAGACACCCCTTATGACTGCTGCAAAGAATGGTGTGATAGAAATGGTGGACAAAATTCTGGAATCGTTTCCATCGAGGATCAAAGATGAGAACGATGAGGGGAAGAATGTAGTTCTACTAGCTGTAGAATATAGGCAAACGTGGGTTTACAAGTTTTTGTGGAAACAGAAAAAGCTGAGTGAAAGTATATTTAGAAAAGTGGATAAACAAGGAAACAATGCATTGCACCTTGCAGCCAGACTCGGTGTGGAGCATGGTTGGCTCCATCGTGGGAAAGTACTCACCATGCCAATGGAAATCAACTGGTTTGAGGTGTGTATCTATTCTACTTAAAGGTTAAAGATCATTTTTTTCCTTAATTTTTTTTTAGGAGTACAGGGCTTATATTAAAAGGTGGGACAATATCCCCCTGAATAATTTTTGTTAGGAGCAAAATTGTTATCTCATTAGAGACCCGTCATTTTCTTATGTGTTGATGTGCAATTGCTGTAGGACTCACTATAGAAATATTAAGGCATTCTGACCCATTTTGACCATCTAATATTGGCCAAAGGAGCCGGAAGTGGTAATGGCAGTGTCAAGAACCGAGCCTGATTTTAGTGGCAAAACAGCAACAAAATAGGTCAGAATGCCTTGCGATCATTATGTGTGGGCCCTAAAGCTATTCCCCATCAACAGATAATAATTAAGAAAATGATGAGTCTCTAACAGAATAATGATTTTGATCCTGACAAATTATTTAGGGGGATATTGCCTCACCCTTTAATATAATGTGCGTAATGGTCTTAGAAAAAGTTTAGAAAGAAAAACAATCTTTATCCTAAAAATTAATGAATAAATTAAACTAGGTCATAATTTAGATTGAGTAAAGACATCAATGATTTATTCACAATGTCAAATATATATTAATGTGTATATAAACGTGGTATGTATATATGTTGATGCAGTACGTCAAGTGCACAATGCCCCCTTGTCAGTTGGAGAGATACAATAAGAATATGGAAACCCCAGACGACATGTTCAGAGAGAGTCACAAGGAACTAATGAGAAGTGAGGGGGAGTGGGTGGCTAGTACCTCACAAGCTTGTTCTGTGGTGTCAATCCTAGTGGCGTCTGTGGCCTTCGCCACTCGAGACACTGTGCCAGGTGGTTACGATAATAGTAAGGGCTACGCAATCCTTAGGAACAATATAGTATTCAGATATTTTGCAAGCTTCTCATTTTTTGCCCTTTTCTTCTCCCTCATATCCACCATCTTCTTTCTGTCTATAGTTGCTTCTCGTTCCCAATCAGTCAGATCTTGGAAATACCTTCCTTTCAAACTTTATTTTGGTATGTGCTTCATGTTCGTTTCCATTCTTGGCTTGTGGATCTCTTTCTGTGCTGGTCATTTCTTCATGCTCAATGACGACATTCAAAAATTGAGCATGTCTCTTCCATGTTATCTTGTCGTGTCGTTGCTGATCATCCTTTTCATTGTCACACAGCTCCCCACATTCATTGGTCCGGCATTGTCTAGCATTAGGCAGTTTCCACCCCCTAAACGCAAGATCATCCCTCCCATTGTGTACCGAAGAACCAATAAAAACAAAAATGATACAGATTTGGGCCGCGACCACACTTAAATGCATGTCTTGTTATTCAAACAATACCAACCTTTATCTCTTTTGTTTTGCAATGATGTGTAAGCATATCATACGTATTGTACTTTGAATTAGTGATTAGTGATTATATTACGATTGATAATAAATTAATTGTACCTTGAATTAGATTGGCGCATCCATCATCCAACTCATCCAAATAAAAAATATTCTAATTCTTCTCTTCCTAATTGATTGGCCTTGCAAGTGCATGGGTTCGAAGTAGTTTAATTACTGGAGTATCCAAGTTGTATCAAGAGAAGAATAGTGATCTTTGTTATACAAAGGCAACAATTATCAATGAAGAGAGGAAACAAAATAATAAATCAAAGCAATTAAAATAAAGCAATGGAAAGAACCAAACGGTGATTCACTCAGTAACAAAGCGTCAGGAATCAAGTTCATTTATCAGGATGTCCTGCACATTAAAACTATTCCTGCTCAATTAAAGTGACAACCATTACAAAAGTAACTTAATTACCTTCCAATATATTAAGTTGCATTTAATTAGATTTAAATTAGCTTCCACTAATTCTAACCCTCTAACTAAACCAATGGTCTTCGGTTACTGATGCCATAAAACCCTAAATTATTCTTATTCTAATTGTTTATGATTATTTTCCTAGGTCTCGAGCAACCCCACAGGTACAGAGTATATTGGCTAGATACACAATCCGAAATAAGGACAAGGAAAATAAATATACTTGATCAAAATACTCAAATAGAATCATAAAACAACGAGTTCAAAGCAACAGGAATAAAAGATAAAGCGAGTAAAGCATAGAAACATTCCATCCAGGATACTCCTTACCTTGACTGAGAACTTAGAAACCAAATATAAAATCAGCTATAATTGTTCCCAAATCCATAAAACAATTAAGTACAAAGTAAATAGCGAGAATAGAAAGTCACTCCCAATCCAGAAAAGTCACTCCCGGGCTGCGTATTCTGTTTTCCAGATTGCCTCCAAGTGAATGAATGAATCCCTAAAGCTCTCACAGGGTTTTTACTTATATTTTCGTCCATTCAGAAGCCAAAACTGATGCCTTGCGTTTTGTCAAGTTAAATCTAACGGTCCTCATTAATTCTGATCAAATTCTGTCCTTCCGCGTGTTTTGTGCTCTTGACCACGGCCGCTCGTGCCCTTCATACTTCCATGTTCCATCCGCATGCGGTAGAAGGGTGAATAAACCCTATCGCCCTGCTTTCATCCGCACCACATCAACTCTCTTCGCCTTTCATCCGTGACTGGTAGCAAACAGAGACAACAGCACTTTCCAGGAGGGTCTTTCTTCCCGCGACAGATTTCCTTCACAGGAGTGGTAGCAGCCAAAGAGCGTGGCTAATTCCAAAAGGGTCTGTCTGCGATCGGTTGACTTCCTCAGCATTTCATCTGCCTGCGAATGAACGTTTGCGGGCCTGTTCTTGGGCCTTGGTCCTGATTCTCTTGCTTTCAACCCATTTTGGGCCCTTTTTCCATCTTTTCATACATTTTGGCACACAAACACTACGTAGAGCTGATAATAAAGGTTCAGCTCGTAGGCTCAATCTGCGTGGTAGGATGGGTTAGTAAAAATGAATCTCGTTCAGATGCGGGCCCTTTTCTAGCCCACATCACATAACCCGGACCTGTGATGGGCTAGCTCATGAGTTGGTGATTTGGCCTGTTTTTTTTCTTTTTCTTAATCTTAAAATTTTTCTGGACTCTTCTTACCTCTTCTAGCTGATTATAAAAATAGTTGTTGGTTATTAAAACCAAATAAACATTTGATTACCTCTTCTAGCTTTCTATGTATAATTTTTACTCAAGTAAATAATTTACAATATAAATCACCTTTTCATTAAAAAGAAATTAATATTCATCATACATCAAGCATAAAAATATTTTTATAGACGAATCATAAATAAATAAATATATATATATATATATATCATTTCTATTTAATATAATATTCTTAGAATATTATTCTTATCATTTCATTAAAATGTTCATGTCATGAAATACTTTCTTTTCAAGTTATCCTATGTGTATCACTCGAGTTGTTAACTAATAATAATTTTTATGACATTATTTTAAATAATGTCATAAAAGTAATCATTTTTAAAAATTATATATATATATATATATATATAATATATGATGCATGAGATGTTTTAAATAATATAATTGTTTTTTTTTTAAAATTTCACTGACTGTGGTTATGATTCCCTGGGATATGGTTCTACAAGATAAGAAAAATGAAGGAGACACACGCATGGTGTCTCCAAATAATGAACGAACTTCTTCAACATGCTTCCGATGAAGATATGTCAACAATAATATCAAGAACCCCCTCTCAGCATCTTTCAATCTCCGAGGAAACAAAGGAGAAGCACGATAAGAAGATTAATGAAAATTCCCAGATGTTAGTTTATAAAGCATTATTATTATATTTTTCATATAGAGAACTTGACATTTAGGAAACATAAATCATTCTTCACGAGGGATGATGGGGGTTAGCTTCCCTCCTCCTAGCTTATCTACCCTTATATCTCAATTTCAATGGTTGCGATTCAATAGAGTATGAAATAATTATCATGATATAAAATAATAATAATTTATTTATAAGAATAATTTTAAATAATATATTATAAAATTTAAAAAGATTAAAATTATTATTTATTATTTAATATAATGATTATAATTATAATTTTATAATACAATTAAACCTCAACCATTAAATTTGAGATCCAAGCGTAGAAAAGTTAGGAAGAGGGTAGAAGGAGGCAAACCATCTCCACAACTATGGAAGGTCACAAAATGTTTTACAAAAATATTATGTGGATTTTTGAATTTTCTGTCTAATCCCTCAAATTTGTCTTAGTGATTAATTTGATCTTTAAAATTTAATCTTTATCAATCAAATCCTTAAAGTTTCATAACCACACGCAATTAATCCTTATAGTTTGAAAGGAAAATAATTCTATGATGACTAATTCTGTGTGGTTATAAAACTTTGAGAACTTGATCGATAAAATTTAAACTTTAAAAGATCAAATAGTAATTAAAGCAAACTTGAGTGTTCAAAACTTTTATTATTCAATTTTTTGTATTTTTAAAATTTTACGCTTACTCCTTTTAAAACTAAAATGTAAATTATAAAAATAATTCTTAAATAATTTTGGTAAATTACACACCCCCTTCCTTCTATTCTCAAGATATATGTAAGCCTTTCTTAAAATATGAAGATATTTCATTCTTTATGTGACCTTTGAAATCACGCATACTATCCATCTTTTTTTTTTTGGGCAAAAACTATCAGGAAAACAGACTATTCCAATGGATCATATTATATATACATTATTATTGATGTCAGCTTCACCTTTATATCATCAGTGAATCAAGATCGAGTTTCTTAAATGATTAGAAATATTCAGTTTTGTGGTCTAGCGTGCATGAATTTCTTAGGAAAAATCTGTAATAACCTTGAATTTTAAATTAAATAATTTTCCACCTAATTAATATTTTATTAAATTGTTCAAGTTTTATGATTAATGGGGAGTAGTGACCTAGTGGAAATTATGTTGGTCTCTACCTAGAGATTTAGGGTTTGAATCTTACTTATGCCAAAGGTAATTTTATTTTTGCTGGGGATAAATGAAATTACCAAAATACCCTTGTCTGTCATGTTATTAAATAAAATATCTTCTGGGTTTCTTGTAATTTTTCCCAAGCAAGCTTTAATATTTTAATAAAAACTCCCTCTTTTGGTCGAAGAAACAAAGCACAGCGTGAGAGTCCAGTTTCTTCTCCACAAGTTTCCTCCACATCACTGACTTGCTCATTTGATCCCCGCTAGCAATGCGTGCCCTATGCCGTCACAATTTCTCCATTGTAAATGATGAGGCTGCCTGATTTCTTTCCTCCTTTCCTCCCCTGTTTGGCTATCACATATCTTTCATGAAATAATGTCCAGTTTAGAACTGTCCTTAGCCTTCACTTGTCAAATTTGTGTAAGATAGGGTGTCCTTTTCAATATTTATCTTCCAGAGAAATTCTTGCATGGATCTAGTGTACCACTTTATCCATACTTTATCTAATAAAAACATGACATTCCGATAACATTGAACATAAATTAGTTATGTCATTTATCGTAAAGAGAGAAAAACAAAAAATTATATAGGCATTTTATTATAAAAATAAAATTATTAAAAATAATGAAACATAAGATTTTATTTAATTGAATTGGTGTAATTTTATTGGATGCTGCTTGGATGTCGTGGTGCATTGAGTCCATGTAAGAATTTCTATATATTCTTGAAGTATTTCATGTAGTCATTAGGAGTTTTCAGATTAAATTTCAATCACCATTGGTCTAAACTCAATTCATGTACATTATAAATTTAGTTTCCAACCCTTTCCAATTAAGGTAATTTTAACATAACCTTTATTGGAAGCATATATTATTGTCTTGAGTGTATCCCTCTATAGGAACATAATTTCAAGTGTAAACTTTATTTTTAATAAATCTATTAATGATATGTCCATTCTCTCAACATAGTGGGAGAAGCATATAATTGAGTTATCTTACACCTCATAACTAACTCAGGATATTGGCTCCGCCGCCAGTCCCATCGAATACGAAAGATGAAGGAGAAGCATGAATGGTGGCTTCAAATAATGAATGAACTTCTTGAGCATGCCTCCCTTGAAGAAATGTCAAATATAATCCGCAAAGATAAACAGCTTTCAACTTCCCCTGCATCGAAAGAGGACAATGGTAAAAAGATTATTCATGAAAATTGAAAACTCCAAGTTAGTTCATAAAATATTACCATTTTATTTTATGAAAAAAAAATTTATATACTTAGTCTTGTATACTTAATATATTTATTTTCAATTAAATCAAAATATGTGAATATTTTATAAAGTATTTGATTGGAATATATATATATATATATATATACATATATTGCAAATAGAACTAAGTTTTGTTTAAATTATATTATATATACTCTCTTTTTTATTAAAAAAATAATACAATATTTGTTTGAAACGAAAATGTAAATCATGCACATTATTCTCGACTAATTTTTTTT